GAAATCAGCATCCCTAGCAGAGGCTTTCTACCCTTGGAAATGTGTCTGGAACCTGGCCTGCTCCTCAGAAGGTAAAGCCTGAGTCGGTGGGGGAGGTTCTGCCTTAGTCACCAACTGCCACTGACTTCTCCACATGTGACTCACCTCAAATGATAGTGCTAGAAAACAGACAAGGCCCTGCCAGGGTGGGGAGGGAACTGACATACCCCATGACCTCTTGACACCACCAGGAGAGCTTGCTCCACACCCAGCCAATCTGCTTCTAATGGTCCAGGGCTAGCTGCCACTGGAATGCAGTCTGATTTTCATTCAGCTCAGGCATCTGTTCTCCTTTGGGTAGTTGAAAACTGGAGAGTAAGAACAAACTCCAAGAATCAAGGGGAGCCCCAGGGAGTTGTATTAGCAGTGAGTGGGGGAAGGGTCAGGTGACCTCACTGACTGGTGTCCTGGTTTGGAAAATGGGATTATCTCCAGCTAGCCAGGAGCGGCAGAGGATTAATTGGTATTTACAGAGTATAGGCAATAAGGACCATGCAGAATGGTGTCCCATGAATACAACAGTTAAGAATTCATCTCACTCATTATACTTGCCTGTTAATCATGAGCTTCTCCTCATACTTGCCCCAGGAAGATACAATTATCTCTGGTCTGGCAAAGCTGGTAGAGAAATGACCTAGTGAAGGTGGCAGCTTTCATATCAAAATGCAGAGTACATGGCTGCATCAAAAACTTTTTTTTTTCAGTAAATCCCAGGAAGAAACTAGGTCAGTTCACACAGTTCCCCACTTCCTATTTGTTAAACAGTATGCAGGCCTGCAGGAAGACTGGCTGATTACCTGAAACACTGTATCATGAAAATGGAGAGAGAACTTATTAGAAGAGTCCAGAAGTTCAGTCATGGGTAGGAAGATGGAACCTAGTCAGAGCCCCTGAAGAGAAAAAGAAGCTACCAAACTACTGTCAAAAGAGGACAGAAACAAATAGCTGACCATTTTACAGCACAGAAGTCTCACAGTGACTTCTGAAGAAAATCTGAACCACTGTACTTCTGTGGTGTCCACCTCTAGACAGACTCTGGAAGGCCCTATTCTTCTTGTAGCTGCCACTGCTCCTTTGCACCAAACCTCTATTCTGTGTGTGTCAGGAGTGCGGGGAGTGGGGGAAGGGGGGCCTGAACACAGTGACTTCCCCACTGGCCCCATTTCCTATGAATATATATTTTTTTAATTTCCAAATGTTCCAATTATGTTTTTCTTTTCATATATATAAATTTATTTATTTATCTATTTTTGGCTGCGTTGGGTCTTCGCTGCTGTGTGCAGGCTTTCTCTAGTTGCAGAGAGCAGGGGCTACTCTTGGTTGTGTGCACGGGCTTCTCATTGCGGTGGCTTCTCTTGTTGTGGAGCACGGGCTCTAGGCGCGTGGGCTTCAGTAGTTGCAGCATGTGGGCTCAGTAGTTGTGGCTCGCGGGCTGTTGAGCGCAGGCTCAGTAGTTGTGGCGCACAGGCTTAGATGCTCTGCAGCATGTGGGATCTTCCCAGACCAGGGATCAAACCCATGTCCCCTGCATTGGCAGGCGGATTCTTAACCACTGCACCACCAGGGAAGTCCCTGAATATTTTGTACTAGCTCCACTGCCATCTACTGCCCCACCAAACCTGCCATCAGACCGACTCACCTGGACTGGCTCCTCCAAGACTCCACTGCAAATAGGACAGATAAGGTCTTCATCAACATCCCCCTGGAAACGGGTTACATCATACCCCATGTCTCATCACTGAAACCCAGGTCCTGGAATGAACAACAGAGGAAAAAGAGGCCAGTTCAGAAGATTACAGATATGTGCCAACTTGATCTCATTGCCAAGATTCGTTCATTTGTCCAATAAATATTTGCTGAGAGCTTACTATGTGACAGTCATTTGGGGGGAGAGAAGCTGACTCAAGAAATTTAATTCTAATGGGAAAAGATTTTATATAAAAATACACTTAAAATATGAAGTGATAGGCTTCCCTGGTGGCGCAGTGGTTGAGAGTCTGCCTGCCGATGCAGGTGACGCAGGTTCGTGCCCCGGTCCGGGAGGATCCCACATGCCGTGGAGCGGCTGGGCCCGTGGACCATGGCCGCTGGGCCTGCGCGTCCGGAGCCTGTGCTCGGCAACGGGAGAGGCCACAGCAGTGAGAGGCCCACGTACCGCAAAAAAAAAAAAAAAATAGAATTGATAAATGCTTTTAGGGTGAGCACTGGGCACTATGAGGCCAAGACATGTGGATACCTGACCCAGGCCGAAAGGAGACGGAGGCTGAGAAGTTTTCCAGGACACCAGTGGGACGAGCAAGAAGTTAGCTAGGTTGTGTGTGGGGGGCGGGGGGAGCCAGGGCAGGGTGGGGCATTAGGGTTTTAGGCACATGAAAGAGCACATTTAAGAGCCCAGAAGGGGACTTCCCTGGCGGTCCAGTGCTTAGGAATCCGCCTTTCAATGCAGGGAACGCAGGTTCGATCCCTGGTCCGGGAACTAAGATCCCACGTGCCCTGGGGCAACTAACCCCGTGCCGCAACTACTGAGCCCACGTGCCACGACTAGAGAGCCCACGTGCTCTGAAGCCCACGCGCCACAACTAGAGAGACGCCTGCACGCCACAAGGAGGAGCCTGCGTGCCACAACTAAAGAGTCCATGTGCTGCAACTAAGACTCGACATAGCCAAAAATAAATAAATTAATTAAAATAAATATTAAAAAAAAAAGTAAGAGGGGATATGATGAGTTCAGGCAACTGTAAGGGGTTCAGAAAAAGTTCAATCTGAAGGGTGCAAGAGAGGGAGTGTCAAAATACAAGGCTGGAAAGGCAAGTTAAGGGCCAGGCCATGAGAAGTCTTATGTAAGGAGTTTGGACTTTACCTTGAAGGCTATGGGGAGCCACTGAAAGACTTAAAAGGAATGATGTGATAAAAGTTCTTTTTTAGAATCACTCTGTAAACAGGGGTGAGATTAGAGACAGGAAGAACATCTAGGCAGGAGAGGAGTAGTGAGAGTCTGAATTTAGGTGGTGGTGATGGGAGGGAAGTTCAGGAGAACAAAGACTCAAAGAGCAGCGAGGCTGCCACGCCCCTTCTTTGGGCTCCTAAGGGTCAAACCCAAACAAGACATCACTGAACAGTAACTGAAATTCCCCTGTGGACATCCAGCCAGTGGGCTAATTGGAGCAAGGATGGGTACCTGATATAAGGGCAGACAATCTGCAGACCAGCCATCAGCTGTGATGTCCTGAAAAAAATGAGCTGAGTCAATCATGTAGTTCTCAGGAATTCAGAATCAGGCTGTTCAATTTAAAAGGGTGGGGAGTGAGGGATTTCCCTGGCGGTCCAGTGCAACAGCCCAGTTTGATCCTTGGTCAGGGAACTAAGATCCCACAAGCTTCGTGGCACGCCAAAAATTAAAAATAAATAAATAAAATTTAAAAATAAATAAATAAAAGGGTGGGGAATGGGATGGATGCAGAGAGGCCTTGATAGGTCAAGTGCAAGCTAAAGTACAGCACTGGACTGAGTCAAGACTGACTGGATTTAGATGCCCGGTTCTACTACTCATTAGCTGTGTGACCTTGGGCAGGCTTACGTGTACTTCCTAAGCCTGCATGGCTTTTTAAACAGATAAAATTGGTATAAGTAACAACAGAAGTGACTCTCAGAGTTGCCCTAAAAGAAACAATACATATAAAACATTTAGCACAATGCCTGCTGGCACATACTAGGCACTCAATACACAAGAGTAACCATTATTTAGGTATACATTTTTTTTTTTTTTTGGCCAAGCCACACGGCATCTTTGTTCCCCAGCCAGGAATCCAACCCGTGCCGCCTGCAATGGAAGTGCAGAGTCCTAACCACTGGACCGCCAGGGAATTCCCTATTTATGTACATATCTAATTTCTACTACTTGATTAAAAATTCCTTAAGAGTAGGAACTCAAGCGCTACATCCAATTTAGCACCAAGCACAGTTCTTTACAAAACAGTAAAATGTTTGGTGTGATTAAATGTTGCTTTAACTGGAAGCTTCTCAGCAGAGTACAGTGGACATGTATTTTGCCTACCTAACATCCCATTTTCTGTAAACAGCATCACAATTTTCCTTCAGGAATCAGAACCTGTTTCCTAGTGGACATGTGACCCAACCTAGGACAGTGAGAGAGATGCCTGGGACTTCTATTGGAGCTCTCATGGGGTTTGCATAGCTGGTAGGATGTACAATTCAGAGTGGTCAGTGACCATCTCTGCTACTAATGAGGACAGCCTACTTACAGAATGATGCCATAATTGGGAATTCCCTGGTGGTCCAGTGGTTAGGGCTCTGCACTTCCACTGCAGGGGGCATGGGTTCAATCTCTGGTTGGGGAACTAAAATCCCACATGTCACACAGCATGGCCAAAAAAAAAAAAAAAAATGACGCCATAATGAAGAAAGCAGAGCTGAGAAATCAAATTCAGGTGAAATCATTTGAGGGCCTGGATTCAGCCATGCCTGAAGCCACAATCACTTAAGTTACATGAGTCAGTAAATACCCTATTATGTTTAGGCTGGTTTGAGCTGGGTTTTTATCTCTTTAAACTGACAAAAATCCAGATTAATGTAGGCTAATGGAGACAAGAAATCACAAGGCTCACTTTGGAACCACTTATCTTTCTTTACCCATTTTATATAGGAACAACGATACCCAATGACACTGCTACAATTACACTGACCTCCATCACCACCACTTCTCTGTATTCTTGTTCCTCCATCTCTAGGGCCTAAGTTCAGGGCCTTGGGCTTACCAACAATCCCCTGAAGTTGTCACTCTAAACCACCTTGGTCTGGCTATCTTTCTCTAAAACAGGGATATCCATCTATTTGTCTCTCCTCAGACCTTTGACCTTCTGTTCCTATGCCAACATTCCCTTGAATAATCCATCAACAGTAATGGATTAGAGTGAGTACATGAAGGGTAATATTAAAGACATCATAAAGTGAAATGTGAAACCCAGAACTAAGGCCCCTTGTGATTCTCCTTGTTGCAACTCATTGAACTGAACAATGAGGACAGTGGTAAGACAGCCAAGAGCAGTCCAGTGTCACTGTCCTGTGGACCTCCACTATTGAGAGCTGTAGTGCAGACCATGGTGTTGTTCACTTTAGGAATTCTACTCCCTTTCTCTTTCATCCACATGGCTCCAGGAGAAGCTGCCTCACTAGTACTGTGAGACTTTAACCTAGGCAGCAGCTGATTGGGACAAGGGTGAGCACACAACCCATGCAGGGCCAATGGAGCCTATCTCTGAGAATTTGAGCTTGATACCAAGAAAGATGAGTTGGTCTTTCTTTGCCTGTCATGTGGACTGAGGAAGACAAATCTACAGAGGGAAAGAAAAGACTGAAACAGACACAGTGAGAAAGGCCTGGATGAGAGCTGGAAAGTCCTGAGGCTTCAGAGTGACTGGTTTGTTCCCAAGACCCAGTTGCCTTCCTATCTTCCTTCTGCGAG